AAAAGAGAATCTTTGACTTTTTGGTATGAATTGTTGACTTTTTGGTTAATTTAATAACTTTTTGACTAAAAAGAAAGGTTCCCAAATGAGGGTTAAAATAACTAAAAAATCAAAAAATTAAAAAACCAACACAATTTTCAACAGAATATATTTTTTATTTGATTAAATGGTAATTATTAATTTATTATGTGCACAAACAAAATCTCACCGCCACCAGCGTGGCCTGGACAACAGCCCAGCACAGAAAACTTGTGTGCCCATAGACTACTACTACGGAGGAGGAGGAGACCACAAAACGGATTAGGACAATAACGCCGTTAATCAGTTAACGGCGACCAGAGTCTTTCTCTTTCTTTCTTTCTTTCTCTCTCTCTCTTCATGATTTCTTTGTCTCTCTCTCTCTCATCTCATCTCATCTCCTGATCACCAAACCCACCATCGGAGGTCACGCCTTGTCTTGTGTTTGTTAAATCGGGTCTGTTCTAGTCTGCTCTATTCTATATTATTATTTCTTCTTTTTATTTTTTAATTATCTGTTTCAAAAATCAGAGCGATCTGTTGTTCTCTCAGAGGGGGCGAGGAGGAATCTCGCCGGGAGGATACCGTCGCTCGCCGGAAACTCCATGAATTCCGGCAAGAGGCTCTGAATCGTAAAATTTTATTAATGCCTTTAACGAAATGGAATGTAAATAATAATTATGTGAACTTGTAGTGATGACCAGTTTTCTTATTAATAATCTATAAGTCACGAATATCATGAATTGAATGAAAATTTGTTCAGGTTAGTTGTGAAAACTCGAAATTAATTTAGATCATTTGAATTGACCGTGTTCTCTTGTAAGCATTTTATTCCAACATTCTTTTTCAAGATTATTAAAAAAACTCTTGCTACATTTCATTGATCATTGATTTCGTAACTACTTTACTGACCTTGTATCAATTGTCATTTTTTCCTCCTCCCTGGATAGTATGAAGTAAATACTCATATATCCTTATTTCCTGGTGTTGGCTATACATTGAATCATCATTTTCAATATTCTTGCAAGTTTTGAACTAGTTACAACTTACAGGTGAGGGTTAACCATATGGCTGTTGCTTTGTCCAAGACTTATAGATCACCAATATTGGACACCATACAGTCTCTTCCACAACATCAACAGGTTTGTTCTGATAACATGATGATTACTTGTCCAAATGACTTAAAAAATTTCTTTTCATATTGATAGGCCCATAACTAAAAATTGATACTTATAAGGTTTACTTATTTTTAATTTTTTTTGTATATTGTTCCTTCTGTTTTAGGTCGAGTTTCAGCTCAGACTGACACCATTTATTTGTTTTGACTAATACTTTTTGACACCATTTGTTCTGTGCTCTTTCTGAGTGATGGTTCAAAATAATGTATTGGCTAAAGTACCGAACTGGTTCTGTGGATGTGATGTCTCCCAGTTCACTTAGTTTTAATGCTGTTTTTTTTTTTTTTTGCTCTTGGAATAATAGGCCTATGCATCTCTAGAAACATCATTTTATGTTTTTTTTTTTTTTTCAATTTTTCTTGGCTGCAGATTATACTTTGTTCTGCTGTGAAGCTTTTCAGCAGGGGAAAGAAGGATACAACTATAGGCGAGGTATCTTATCTGCCATAGTGTACAATATAAAGACTTCATACAGAAATGATTGATTTTTAAATTCGCTAAATGGATGCAGCTCAGTAAATCTTACTTGGATATCTGCAAATCAATTCTAATCCCACCAGTAGGAATTATGGAACTTTCAAACATGTGCAGAGTGCTAGGTGACCAGGTGAGCTAAATATGCTGTGTTCTGATTGAATTGATTCTTACATGGGTCTCTGTACAAGATTTAGGTTGATCACATGAAAAGCTTATTTCACAATGAGATATGGTACCATCTTACTAACTACGAAGAAAACGATACATGATTGAATGTGCAGGGTCTTCTTAAACTTGGTCAATCTCGAGAAGATAAATTAAGAAGGGTGACACTAAAGGTAGATGAAGCAGATATTGCATTTGCATTACAGGTATTAAAAAACCAACAAACTAAATTTAAGCTTCCTATGTGTTATGCTTGTCAAATTTTGAAAAAAATTCTTCTTAAATAGCTCCAATCTGCTTGCTGGCAACAATTTCATTTCTATTTTTGTTAATTATTATGATCAATATTTGACAGGGGGTTCGTGTCTTTCGAAATTGTCTTCAGTAGTGCTGGTCATAAAGATACGAACTCATGAATTTATTGTTTCTTGGAATTGGTGGCTGTTCCATGTCCAGTTAATGTGCTAACTCTGAATATTAAGGTTAGAATTCATTGTTTGGCTCAGCTGATGTTAAAACCTTCTCTGCATACCACTTTACGGCATTTGATGTCACACAATGCCTCTTTACTTGTATCTAAACAACAAAAAAATGGCTTCTAAAAAATGGCTTCTCTCATTCTTCAAAGGGCAAACTTCACTTTACTTCCCTATGATTTAGGTCGAGTGCAGATTATTTTCCTGACGTTCGAATATCACCACATAACTCTCCTGTGGTTGATGGAGTAAAGTGCATAGTTAGCTTTTTCATTTATTCTAACAGGTTGTGTAGCACATGCGAGTGTGAGGCAGTTGGACATGAAAATATAATTTTTCCTCCGAATTAAATGACAAATGCTTGTCTTCATCATCAATTTCCAAAGAATACCTTCATATTATTTTCTTCATCTTCATCATTTTCATCATCAGATCTGAAAATGTGATGATTTTGATTTTGTTCTCTTTCTTTTCATTTCTCATCATTTCTTTTCAAATCACTCAATTAATTATATTTATCAAATAAAGAAATCATAGATTTTAGACCAAAACCTAAAACCCCAAATGAGTAATTCAATTTTATTTCAAAAGTTAAACTATAATCATAATTCATGAACACCAAAAAATAGAAATTGAAAATTTTATGCATATCTGAAAGGGCAGCAAGAAGGAGAATCTGATTCGAATTTGAAAATACTGTAGAGAGAGAGAGAGAGAGAGAGAGAAAGCTAGAGAGAGAGACAGAAGTGATTCCTCGTCAATGGGTTGGTTGTTGCAGAGATCGAAGAAGAGGGAGGAGTTTGCGGCGACGACGGTGGTGGTAGATGACAGTTTGCGACGTTTGGCCAGTGAGTTTCCAGATCTAGATTCGTCGGGTGCAGAAGCAAGAGCTTTTACTGGGTTTCATCACTTCCTCATTCTCTTCATCTTACTGAAAGAGCGAGGATCCTCTAGAGTTTTTTTTTCCTAAAGTTTTCTAAAGTGGTGCATTGTGTGGTTGAGATTTAATGACAAGTTACATTAATTTTTCAACATTAAATCTCAATCACACAATACATCACTTTAGGAAATTTTAGGAAAAAAACACTCTAGAGGATCCTTGGTGCTGGGTTTCATCTTCAATTGAAGAAAATGAGAAGTCGAGGCGGCGACAGCAACACTGGTGGCAGTGGTGGCGCATAGAAGAAGTAAGTCAACTGGGTCTTTATTGAAATCAAAGAAGATTATATATGCATATATACATATATATAGCCACAAATTATATACATTAGATTTCACTGGATAGTTTGTTAACTTGTTTCATTTCTTTTTTCATTTTTTTTCATTTTTTTTTTCTTTTTTTTTCTCTGTCTCTGTTTCTCTCTCTAGATTGATCTGTTACTATCATAAGAAATTAAGAAAAAGATAACAAAATCAAAATCATTACATTTTCCTTACTGAAAATGTGATGATTTATTTTGTGATTGAAAATGTGATGATTTTGTGTAAATTGATAAACTTAGGAAATGTTTTGAAAGTCTTCTCAAACGCACAGTTGAATGAGAAATGATAAATAAGGGTTATATATATAGGGTAAATTGGTCTTTTTATGTTTGTTATTAACGGTGTTAACTGTGCACTTTACTCTATCAATTATAGGGGGTTATGTGGTGATATTCGAAAGTTAGGAGAGTAATTCACAAATAGCCAAAATCATAGGGGTAAAGTGAAGCTTTCCCCTGCGTCAAATGTATCCGGCAAATCTTAAATAAATACAAGCTATACAACAAAGGACTGATGCAGCATTTCTTCAAAACAGTGGAGTTTGAGTTTAGCATTTCTAGCTGTTGTTGGGTGGGACTTGAAATATTGAATGCATGTCTCTCTTTCTCTCTCTGCTTTCCATGATTGTGCCTTCAGTCTAAAAGGCTTTATTTTCATTGCAGCTATAAGTGCTTGGTGTGCTTGATGATGGACAAGTTAAATGAGGTAACATTCGAAGACTGCAAGCTTGAAAACTTGTTGCCAGCAAGGTGTTGCTGTTGTTTAGTACAATTCAAATCATACTAGTTACATTTTTAGAAGATAAAATATGTAAAGGAAAAACTAAAAAACAAATGATTTATATAGATATATCTTGCAACAGAGTTCATTCATATCATACTCTTTTCTTTTTAATAGTCATTTGTTTATGTTGGAGTTTCAGTGTCTTTGATATGCAATTTTACAGGAAGCTCGAAAGGTGTTCATTTTATGCAAGATTTTCTAATACAATTGTTTGATAAAATTGCAAATCACATGACCAAATTGTTTGGACTAGTACAAGTATTTGAGAAAAATTTGAAAAATGAGACAATTATTTATCACATGACCAAAATTATTTGTAATCAAGGTTTTAAAAAGCGGCTGCAATCATTACGTAACGCCGTTACGTAATGATTGTGGTAGTTACCGTCACTCGTTACGGTTGCTTTTGTAGTGTGATTGAGATTCACAGGTATATCGGCCGTAGCGGCTGTCATAGTGGTCGTAACGGCTTGTTATGCACCGTTACGTAACGGTTCTGAATTGTTTTTTTTAAAAAAACACAAAAAAAAAAGAGTTGAAAATGAGGGAAGAGAGATAGAGAGAGAAGAGAGAAGATGGAAAAATAAGAGATAGAGAGAAAATATAAAAGATGAAGAACATGCTATTGATTTGTTGAAGTTGTAAGACTTATGTTATTCTATTCAGCTGTTATCACTTAATCATTTTGTTTGTGTGTGCCTATCTATATATTGTTTGAAAATAATAATAATAAGTGTTGTCATTATCTATTTGGTTTGATTAATATATATATATATATTTAGGTTTTTATTTATTCTCTTACTTTTGTCATTGTTTATCTTATATATAATAGTTAGTAATTGATTTTTTGTATAATATAAAGTCATTAATTAATAAAATAAAATGTAAAAAACTCAATTTATTAGTAATTAAAATATGAAACATATTGGATCAAACTTAAAAATTTATAAAAATTATCAATATTTATTTTAAAATCTAATAAATATGATTATGGAAAAAAACGTATTATCGGTAAGTTTTTTCAAATTGTGCGAAAAATAAAAAAATTCACGATTTCGATTTATCGCAATCGTTACGTTACGGGCTTTACACCCGCAATTGCAATTGTTGCCACCGCTATTATTACGCGCCCCAATTATTTTTGACAACCATATTTGTAAGGATCCCACTATAGATGGGAATTGAAAGTAGGGATGGTCCTACAAGGCTTGAAATTATTATGCCTGATTAACATGCTAAGTTGGATTTTAGCTAAAATAAATTGGAAATTTTTATTTTTTTTGATAATGAGGTGGGGTCTCATGTCTATATGGTACGAGATTTATTGTGAATAGTTAATAGTGTATTTAATTTGTAGTTTATTAATATAAAAATCTTTTTAAATAATACTATTTAAAAAATTATTAAAGAAAAAAAATTCCAAACCCGTCTTGAACTTTCTTAATAAAAAAGTTTTGATTGACTAGTTTGCTAAGAAAGATAAGTTAATTTTTTATAAAAAATATTAATTTAATGTAATTTTTAAAATTTCAAATGAGTGATAATATTTACAAATATTAATAATTTAAATTTTAAACATTTTCATGAATCTATAATAATTTTCTAAAAGTGCAATGGTAATTTCCTCTAGATATTTTTGTGAGGAAATTATAAATCAAGTGAACTTTTAAAAGTAATTACATATTAATGAAAAGTTTTTGATTTTAATAATTAAATTTTATAAACTTTACCATTACTTTGAATTTTTTTTTCAACCTTGTTATTTCTCCTATTTTTGTCTCAAATTTCATATATTTCTACTTTTTTTTTTCTTCTCATTTTTCCTAATTACTTTGTAATTATTTAAACTTAACCATTAAATCGCCATTCTAAAAAAAAGGAACGTATTTTTGCTTTCCGAAAAGGGAAAATAACATAGCAGTGTATCTCTTTAAACATAACTACAAATAAGTGAAAAATTTTATCGACATTAATAATTAAAGAATAATTACATAAAGGTAGAAGAAAGAAAAAAAATTATCAAAAAAATTACATGAGTGCAAGTATAATCTTTCATTTGTATCCCACTACAAAAACACTTGTATTTCCATTAGGGGTGTAAAAATAACCCGAGGCTCGTGGCGGCGCGAAGCTCTCTCGAAGCCCAAGGTGGGCTCAGCCCATTTCGGCCCGGTTAAACCCGAGCCCAGCCCAGTACCTTGGGCCTAGGCCTAGGCCTTCCATTTGGGGCCCGGCCTGGCCCAAAAAATTTCGGACCCTGCGGGCAGCTCGACTCAACCATCAAACATTCTCTCTACCAATGATCAAATTTCAAAAAATAAAAATAAAAAACAACTTACAGTAATTAAATAATTAAAAAAAGTAAAAAATAAAAAAATTAAATAATTAAAAAGATTGATCTTATAAAAATAAAAAAATAAAAAGATTGATTTTATAAAAATAAAATAATTAAATAACTAAAAGATTGATTTTATAAAAATAAAAAAATTAATATAATTAAATAAATAACATTAATAATTTAAAAATAAAACAAAAATTAATAATAATTTATTAAATTAAAATCAAATTAATAATTGTTTGATGGAAAAGGATGATGTATCACGCCAGTGTGCACCATGCCCTGCCACACTGTGGCTGGCAGTGGCAGGGCACAGTCTGTGTGTGGCTAGCCTTCATTTTTTATTTTTTTAAATTTCTTACTTCATTGTTTGATGAGAAAGTGTACCTAACGTGAAAGGAAAAAAAAATATATATCTAACGTGAAAAAATATATATATATATATACTAAGTTGGATGGTAATATTGGGCCCGTAAGAGCTCACCATGAGTCCCATTTTGATAATCCGAATCGTTAATGTGCAGAACTCTTCCATTACTATATTCTTGTAAAAAATCACGTTAATCGGATATCGTTAACTATATAATCAAATCAGTTTGGTATAAAAATGCATGGTGTTATAGTTAATGGTTGACAAAAAAAACTAATCCGATCAGATAGTTATACATATCTGATCAACGTGATTTTTTATAAACATTTAATACTCGACAAGTTGTACACATTGAATGGTTCCGATTATCAAAACGGGACTAGTGATTTTTTCATGTGTTTGTAATTTTTTTTTATTTTCCACTTGCATGTAATTTTTCCATAATTAAAACTATAAATTTTTCAATAATTTTGTAAATATTTTTTCAAACGTACGCCGTGTACTTTCCCCTTCCCAAAAAACACTCCATAATTTCCCGTTGAAAAAAAAAAGAAAAATGATTCGAATCCTCCTTTTTCCCCACCCCTTGACCCCCCCTCTCTGTCTCTCTCTCTAATTGGTCAGATTTTTATTTTTATTTTTCTTTCTCCTCCAATTATCACCCGCCAAGTATGTGTGGGAAGGTGAGAATGGTGATCGGAGGGGATCTAAATCATCTATTCTATTATTAAAAGGGAACAGTGATTTTGGTGTCACGAAGCCATCCCTAAAAAACTTTTCTCAAATTTTCCTAAAATGACCTTAACTTTTTACACTTACATCAATTTTAATTAGGGGTAAAATGATAAATTCAAACACCAAGTCCACCTCCCACTTCCCACTCTCCACGTCTGAAGCAGTTACAACATCTTCCTTCAATTGCATTTTGCATCTTCTTTGGTATGTTCTTTGCTGAAAGTTCATTGTATTTGGTACCTTCTTTTTTGTATTTGGTTGTACGTTGAGATTTTCAATACTATCTACTCTCACCACCCGTCACTCGTCTCCCAATCAGCCCAAGAATCAGCCTTATCCTCCTCACCAGCTTCTGTGAATATCGCATCTTCTGTGAATATCGTGATCTCTGCAGTGTTCCTCTGCCTCGCTTCCTCTCCCCAACACCAGCACACCTCCACCACCGCCGTCGCAACAACAACAACAACCACCCACGTTATCAACCTCTACATAGGAATGGTTTCTTGCAATTATAGTACGTTTGTGATCTTCCCTTTTTTATTTGGTAAGCATTTCTATATCCAAACCTGATAGCAGAATGGTTTTGTTTGGATCACAATTAAAGATTCAAATCCTTCCCCTGCACCCTCTCTGTTTTTCTTTGTTCAGTTCACTGTCATCCACTCAAAACACTTCACCTTCATTGAGTAGGCATTTTAATATGACAATATTTTAAAGAATCATTATTTCAAACCAAACTTACTAGAAATGTATGGGTGTGAATGTATATATTTGTCTGTTAGTTTGATTTTTGATGAAAAATCATTATTTCATATTTTCCAGGTTGATATTTTTTCAGTTCATGTTGGGTCTGAATATATATATATTTGTCTGTTAGTTTGATTTTTGATGAAGAATCATTATATCATATTTTTTCAGGTTGATATTTTTTCAATTCATGTTGGGTGTGAATATATATATATATATATATATATATCTGTCTGTTGATATTTTTTTTTCCCAATTTTCAGTTCACGTTGGTGTGTTAAAATTTTCTGATATTTATTTATGATTGGTATTTGATAAGTGATTGTGCATTGTTGATTTTTTCCCATTTGTTCAGTTCACTGTCATCCACTCAAAACACTTCACCTTCATTGAGTAGGCATTTTAATATGACAATATTTTAAAGAATCATTATTTCAAACCAAACTTACTAGAAATGTATGGGTGTGAATGTATATATTTGTCTGTTAGTTTGATTTTTGATGAAGAATCATTATTTCATATTTTTTCAGGTTGATATTTTTTCAGTTCATGTTGGGTGTGAATATATATATACTAGTAGGTGGCACACACGATGTGTGTGCAATTTAAATAAGTAGGACTAAAAAAAATAATGAAATTAATATTATAATGTGTACTTAGCTTAAGTGGTATGAGTCCTCGTACTTAAACCCATGGTCATGGGTTCAAGCCTTGTCCATCTCTTTGTTTAACTTTTTTTTAAAAAATAAAAAATACTGCCACATGACATGAGGAGAGTAAAGCTTCATGACACCATAAGAGGTGTTCACTTTATAATAGTATAGATAGATATATCTGTCTGTTGATATTTTTTTTTCCAATTTTCAGTTCATGTTGGTGTGTTAAAATTTTCTGATATTTATTTATGATTGGAATTTGATAGTTTACTTGATAATCTCTTTATTATGAATAACTTTGCCTTTAAGAAGTGTCATATACATATATAGGAGTGTGAGACACCGTTAGATTTGAGAGAAGTTATTGGTTGGTCTTAGAGATCCAGATCTTCACTCAAGATCTCTCTCTTATCCTCTATACTTTGCAATTTCTGTGTGTTTAAAAAAAAAAATTAGTATTCTTAAAATCTATTGTTTTTTAAAAATAATAGTATTAAAAAAAAATTTACAATTTCTTTTGCATTTTTTTTAATATTAATAGTTTATTACTATTTTTATTTGTATATATCAAATCTTTTTTTATTGTAAGTGTTCCAAGAGTATGGGTTTGTATTTTGATATTTTGTGTGTACACTGTTAAGTATACATTTTATTTTCTTCATTAAAAAATTAAATAAAAAGTTTCATTATGTTATTAGTTTCCTTGGGGAAAAAAATAGACTATTATTTTTCTTAGTTTATATCAAATCTATTTCACTGTAATTGTTATTTTTCTTTATGTAAATCAAATCTTTTTTTATTGTAAATATTCTTTTTCTTTTTTGGCTACTATAAGTACTGTAAGAGTATTAGGTTTGGGTATCTGTTGTTTTTTAAAAACAACAGTATTAAAATTTATTTTTTAAAAAAAAGTTTTTTTTTTGCATTTTTATTATTTAATTTTTTATATTAATAGTTTATTATTATTTTTATTTGTATATATCAAATATTTTTTTATTGTAAGTGTTCCAAGAGTATGGTTGAAGCACTAGGTGGGCCTCATAGTGGGCATGTTAATTAAGTAAACCAACCTCCTGGCCATGTTTGGAAAAATTGTGATTTTTTTTTTTTAAAAGGTATTGTTTGAGTAGTATAAAATGTGATTGTTATAATAGGTATCAAATGCAAAATATCGTGTAAACTACAGAGACTATTTATATAATTTATTTTTAATTATTTATTATTATTTTTTTGGACCGGAAACTAATAGTTTTTTATTTAACTACTAGACAAATCATAATGACTCTTCAAAGAGTAAGATGAATAAATCTGTTTAATAATTCTTTGGCTATTTAATTCTGTAATTTTTAGTTTTCTTTATGTACATCAAATCTGTTTCAATGTTACTATTTATTTTTCGTTATGAGTATTCTAAGTCTCTTGGATTTTTACTTTTCTATTTTGTGTGCTTCTGTATATACTTATGCTTAAATAGTTTTGGAGTTTGTCCTGTTTGGTATGTTTCTATTTGGTATTTTTTTCACTTACTTTTTATTTTATTTTTGTTTCTCCTATTCAATTTTTTGGTTTGGCATAGGTGTGGAGATCTATCATGATCTAAGAGGATATATTAATTAAGTAATAACCAACTTCCCTGCCCATGTTGTGTTTTTTTTTTTTTAAAGGTATTGTTTGAGTAGTTAAAATTGCAATTGTTAATTGACATATGGTGGGTAGGCTTACCAACCATAAAACCCATAATTCAGTTTTTAAAAACTTTTGGGCTTTTTAGGGCTTTTCCCCATAATTCAGGGTTATGAAGATATGTATTTTTGTATTTTTTTTTGTAATACTGTTAATTATACTTTCTGTAATACTAAATATTCCAACTAAATTAAACATTATTTTGCATTATATTTTTTTGGTGTAATAATGTAAATTTTTTTGCAGGTTGCTTTATGACTTTGTATTGTTCAGAATAAACAACTTCTCGGGTGATTCTTTATCTACACTTATCTACTTTGACTGTAAGTATTCTAGACTTATTGATGGATTATTGTAGAGTCCCCCCCTCCTCTCCCCCAAAATATAGAGTTGAGTATGCTTTATTTTTGCCCAAAGTTTCTCTCTCAAATTTTTTATTTTATTTTATTTCCCTCCCCTCCCCTCCCCTCCCCCAAAATATAGAGTTGAGTATGCTTTATTTTTGCCCAAAGTTTCTCTCTCAAATTTTTTATTTTATTTTATTTTATTCTAATTATGATATATCAATTGTGATGAATCAATTCTTCTTTATTTTCACAAAAGCACACACACAAATTTAAGAATAAAGAAAAACCCAAATATGAAATCCAAATAAAAATTATAGAACAGACAATAGATATACAAGGAGGACACCAAAAGTGATTAAAATTAAAAATATATATATATTTTTTTCATGATCTTTCTCATAACATTATTTGAATTGTTCTTAAAAAAATTAGAAAACAAAACTTACAAATATACTTGAACAAAAATTACAATTATTTTAATATTATAATTTTTTTTTTTTAGTTGCATAAATATGTGCAATGTCGTTACAAGGTAATTTACTTATAGGTTTGTATATATAACAAAAGTGTTAGTTTGCTAACAATCTCAGGAAAAATGAATCATGATTATCCTGACACATCAAATTTGAGACGTGTACAACAACAAAATCGTGAACGACGTCGTTTATACCTACAATAGAGGAGGCAACGTTCATCTTTGGAGTCAAATGCTCAAACTGAACAACCACAAAGAGAATTCGAACAGTTCCGCCTTCAAAACATGAGCACTGAACAACGCTCAGCAAGATTGGAGCAACGTCGTCTTGCTCAGCGTAGGCAAAGATTGTTCATTCGCGAACAAAGCACGAGTTCTAATGTGCAACAAAGAGAAATTCAAAGGGAAAGTTTGCGTAATTACGTCAGACAAAGGAGGGCTGCTTTGACTACTGAACAGCGCGAACAACAACTAGCAAGGCGACGAACAAATTATCGACAAAGAAGGCAAATATCTGAAAATCTCGAACAAACTTCTCATCCAGATCAAGCACATAATATGACAAATGCACATAATATGTTTTTTTTTTTTTAAAAAAAAAAAGCTTTTACACTTCCAAATTTTACATTAATATTCATTTAATTTATTATGTACAATTTTAACTGTTAGGATGCATGTTAAACTTTTTTGATGCAATCCCAAGAAGAAATAGAATAGGATGGCGCAGGCCGAGAGCAACAATTTTGCCAACCATTCACGATGAAGGGGATTTAGTTGTGACTAATGTTTTTAGTCGTGAAAGTAGAATGACTCTACGCTCACGTATCGACTTATTCCGATATGCACCTACTCATTCGACTTATGAGCATGGAAGCACAAGTGGCAATAGACAAGATGATTCTCACGAAGTTCAGATGGAAGGTAAAAAAAAATTATTCAGTTTAAGTACTTTTACAAAACAAACAACCTTTACAATAAATGTAAAAAAGATGGCCATGCAAATGTGATATGCAGTACAATTACAATTAATATTGAACATGCAACTCAAACACTTTTAAATAAATACTATTCTGTTAATAATAAACCTATACATCATACATGTATTGTTATAGGAAATATCCCTCATGTCGACCACAATCAAGATGTTTTCAGTGATGAAGATATTCTAGATAATTGATCATTTATCCATAGGAGATATCACAATTGTGCAAGAAATTTTCATGAAAGTGAAAGGTTCCAAAGAATGCAGTTTCCTGCTCTAACTACATGTAGACATTGCAACGCAAGATTGTTCCACCGTGAAACGTCTACCATGTGTTGTAATAATGGAACCATTGTTTTGCCACCAGTAACAGCTCCAAATGGGATGATTGATATTTTCTCTGACCAAACAGTGGAGGGTCGTCATTTTAGACAAAATATTCGATCCTATAATCATGTTTTCTCATTCACTTCAATGGGTGTTCATGTTAATGAAAACTTAGCAACAAGAACTCGAGGTGTGTACACGTTTCGTGCACAAGGATCCATATATCATAAGATCGGGAGTCTCTTACCAAATTCTAGCGACAGACCGAGATATTTGCAACTGTATGTTTATGACACTGACCACGAGAATGCGAATTGAATGTCTGAAAATAGAGAATTACACTTGGATTTGCTTGACAAGATAAAGAATATTTTAAATGCTCATAATCCATTTGTACACACGTTTCGCCAGTTAGCTCAGCGTCCAGATATACATGAATGCAGACTTCAGATCAAAGAGCAACCACGTAATAGGCCCCAATACAACCTTCCTACTGCTCCTGAAGTTGCTGCAGTTTTAGTAGGCGGCGAAGAAGCAGGAAACTTAAGACCAAGAGATATCATTGTCCAATCAACCAGTGGTCACCTCCTAAATATTCCTGATATTACCGGATATTATGATCCATTACAGTATCCTCTGTTGTTACCCTATGGTTCATATGGATGAGATGCAAATAGCAGAAGTAATGATGGTAGAAAAGTAACATGCTGTGATTTCTGTTCTTATATGCTACGGGTACAACGTACACATAATATCAAAAAATTACTTCGTCGAAGTTATTTAATCTATAGTTATTTATAATTATTCAAATACTATCAATTCAGATTCGCTCTGGTGACCAATCTCTTTTCCTTCGAGGAGGTCGCCTCTTACAACAGTATGTTGTAGATAATTACGTGAAGATTGAGTCCAACAAATTAAGATGGATACGTACTCATCAGAATCACATTTGAGTAGATTTTTATCAAGGTCTTCTAGATGCAGTATATGCTGGTGAAAATTATGGAGGTACAAATTGTCACTACAACTACATGTATTCACGTTTGTTTATATTCATACATATAATTTTTTTTTTGTGAAATCCAAATTTGGAGCAGGTAATGTCGGTCGTAGAACAATATTACCGTCGTCATTTGTTGGTAGCCCACGAGACATGTATCAACGATATCAAGATGCAATGGCTCTGGTCCAAAAGTATAGAAAACCTGATCTTTTCCTTACAATGACTTGCAATCCAAATTGGCCTGAAATTAAAGCTGAGTTACTACCTGGACAGTCACCACATGATCGCCCTGATTTGCTGACAAGAGTATTTTATTCAAAATTTGATGAGATGAAGACCGACATTCTTACAAAAAATGTACTCAGGAAGGTTCTAGCATATGCATATGTTATTGAGTATCAAAAAAGAGGCTTACCACATGCCCACATGGTCATTATTTTGGATGAAAATGATAAGTTACGCACTCCTGACGATTATGATAACATTGTCATAGATGAAATTCCAGACAAGAGATTAGAGCCTAGATTATACAGTGCAGTTCTGAAACACATGATACATGGCCCATGTGGAATGTACAATGAACAATCACCATGTATGACAAATGGTCAGTGCAAAAGACGTTTCCCAAAGCCATTTTCTCCAATTACTACACTTGGAAACGATTCATACCCTGTTTATCGAAGAAGAGAAGGGGAGTCAGTTCCATTAGAGAGTAATCCAAGTATCTTGGTGGATAATAGTTGGGTCATTCCATACAACCCATGGTTGCTCTTGGAATATGATTGCCATATCAATCTTGAAATTTGCAGTAGTGTTACAAGTGTGAAGTATTTATACAAATATGTTTATAAAGGGCCTGATCGTGTTGCACTAGAAGTTCGTCAAGGTCCTAATTATGACGAAGTACAACAGTTCATAGATGGAAGATGGGTTTGTGCTCCAGAAACATTGTGGAAAATATTCAAATTTCCAATGACCAGAATGACCCCTAGCGTAGAACTCCTCCAAATACACTTACCAAATAAGCAGCAAGTGCGGTTTTATACGTTCCAAGACATCACAAATGTTTTAGGAGATGAGTATTATTCCAGAACAATGCTTACCCAATTCTTTCAATTAAATGTTGATGACGAAACTGCAAATTGGTACTTATATCGAGAGATCCCTCAACACTATAGATGGTGCAATAGCACAAAGATTTGGCAGTTGAGATTGAATCGTCAAAGAGTAATTGGTAGAATTTACACAGTTTCGCCATCAGAAGGGGAGAGATTTTACCTAAGAATTTTACACAATCATATCAGAGGACCAAAATCATTCGACCATTTGTTAATGGTTAATGGAATTGCGTACCCAACTTTTATACAAGCAGCTGAACATCATGGTTTGTTAGAGCATGATGATAGCATACGACAATGTTTGTTAGAAGCTGCAACCATGCACATGCCATCAGCATTAAGGAGATTGTTCGTTACAATTTTGGTTTACTGTATGCCAACAGGGGTGCGAAGTTTGTGGGATGAAATTTATCCTTACTTGATTGAAGATTACATATCTTCAAACAGTATGAATAATATGTATATCCTTAACAAAACCCTGCAAGATATAAACCGTCTCCTGCTACAGCATAATAAGAACATATCAGAATACAATTTGCCTGAGATGACAATGAATTTGGATGATAATTCAACAGTTCCAAAGGTCACAGTTCCAAAGGTCATACAAGATAAGCTTTCCATTGTAACTCCTCGAGAAGACTTAAATTCCATTGCCACGTTAAATAATGATCAATGCTTAGCATTTAATTCAATCATGGAGGCTGTGGAATGCAATACTGGTGCAATCTTTTTTGTGGATAGACCAGGAGGAACTGGAAGGACATATTTATATTGTGCATTGTTGGCCTCAGTGAGAAGTCAAGGTCGAATTGCCATTGCAAAAGCAACTTCTGGAATTGCAGCTACACTTTTACCTGGTGGAAGGACAGCCCATTCAAGATTCAAGATCCCATTAAATCCAGAGGCTTCATCCGTGTGCTCCATTACTAAACAATCAGATTTGGTAGAATTGATTAGACGTGCAACAATCATCATTTGGGATGAAGCTACAATGACGAATCGTTATGCTTTTGAAGCTTTGAATCGAACACTCATAGACATCACTGGTGTTGATTATCCGTTTGGTGGCAAAATTATGGTGTTTGGTGGTGACTTTCGTCAAGTACTTCCAATTGTTCCTAAAGGTACAAAAGCTGAAACTATTGCTGCATCGATAGTCAAATCATCTCTCTAGAGTCACATTCAAATACTTCGTTTAAGGGAAAATATGCGATCTATAAATGATCAACAGTTTGGTGAATTTCTTTTACGTGTTGGAGATGGTGTACAACCTACCATTGGAGATGAAATTATCAAAGTACCAACATCAATGGCAATACCATGGAACGGCGAAGAGTCAATAGTTCGACTATTACAAGAAATTTATCCTGATATCATAAACCATTCCTTTGATGCCGAGTATATGGTTAGTAGGGGCATAATAACTCCTCGCAATGAAGATGTCGACAAGCTCAATGAGAAAATCATTCAAAGATTTCTGGGAGTGTCAAGAGTGTACCACTCATTTGATAAAGTTGAAAATGATACCCAAAATTTGTATATATCAACAAGAGTTTTTAAATTCCATTTCACCCGGAGGAATGCCTCCACATGCATTGCATTTGAAAGTTGGAGCCCCAATTATGCTTTTGAGGAACCTTGACCCTTCTTCTGGTTTGTGCAATGGCACAAGGCTATTGTGTCGAGCTTTGAATAATAATTTCATAGATTCAGAGATTTTAACGGGACATTTCAAAGGCACGAGAGTTTTCCTACATCGCATTCCATTAAAGGTTCCGGAAAACTTAAAACTTCCATTTGAAATGACTCACACACAATTTCCAGTTCGCCTTAGTTTTGCTTTGACAATAAATAAATCACAAGGTCAAACAATTCCACATGTGGGAATTTACCTTTCGGATCATGTATTTAGTCATGGACAACTATATGTTGCTTTATCTCGAGAGGGTGTCAGATCAGACAACAAAAGTCTTGGTTAAAAAGGGTTCAGTTAATAATGAAGAAGGAGTGTATACCCGCAATGTAGTCTACAAAGATGTTTTGTTACCAAATTATTGATACATGAGGTATGTACTAAATATGTTCTTATTTAGCTTATATTATGTCATTTTTTTAATCTACAATTAATGTACTTATAATATATCTTCATATAATTATTAATTGTAGGAATACTTGAAAAAATAAAACTACTTCAACTTTGGGAGGATTATCAAGATGAGGCAAATATGGTTGCATATAAGAAAGTTACAAATCAGGTATTCGCTTCACTTATGTTTAAAAAATTATGTTTGTAAAATTTTTGTTATTTAGTCTGGCAACATTCGCATATATTTTGAGTTTGACTATACCTTTTAAATTAATGTAGGTTAAACAGTTCTCCATATACAGTATTGGATGGAAGGTTTCTATTAAAGTTGATAAAAAACAATTGGGAAAATTAATCATGCAAGAGCTTTTGAGGCAACGACAACATCGGTATGATAACGTGTTTGCGGGGCATTTTATATGAATCATTTCAATATGTTACATTGCTAATAGTTATCGTACTTTTTTTTAACAGAAATCCTATCATATCTGATAGAGCAAGCATATGCAGCAAAGACAATATGGACATATATGTGGTAAAAATCAAGTCTTATGAAGTTTACTACTATGTTCCATATATTCATATTTGTAAATTTACAATTTAATATTAGATTTCATACATTTGTCAAACAATCAACTTACAAGGAAGTGATATATTTTGCCCCAGTTTTATAGGCAACGAATGATACAAAAATTGAAAGCTTACAAAGATATGTGCACCGCCGTTACAAGGTAATCTACTTATTGGTTTGTATGTATAACAAAAGTTACATATTTCATTTTTTTGGTCAATTCTATCTTATTTTTTATAGTTTAATGTTGTCATAGATCTATGGCAAAAATTGCATCAAGACAATTTGAAGAAATTGTTGAACGTGACGTGTGATTTGGACTATGTCAATATATGTAAAAATGTAAGTTTTTAATTATGTTTATAAAAAATTAACACAATAATTACCTATTGTCTCTTTATATAAAATAAGTTAATTACAAAACCAAAGTAATTATTATACTCTATTGGCTAAAGTACGAATATGTATAATTATGTCTCACTTTAAGAACGTAAAATTTTAATTTAATCAATGTATATTGTTAGCAAACTAATTTTTACATATATCTTATATATTTTTTTGCAAGATTTGCAGGATCTCCAGTCTCATGTTACCAAATTCAGATTTTATATGAATTTTTGTTATACATATTTTTTAGTTAAGATCAATAAATTTGTATTTTTTCAAATTGTGTATTTTATTTATCAAATACATTAATATCAAATATTACATTGTACATAGTTACTTATTTTATTTATATGTATATTGTTAAAAAAAATAATATGAAATTCATATTTTAATTCAAAAAGAAATTACACAAGCATTTGCTGAAAAAAAAAAAAAAAAAACCCCATGAAAACCTTCCACGGTCCAAACACAGCAATAATTTTTGAAAAATCAACCTACCTCAGCTCCGACTCTTATCCCTAACCAAAATGGAAACCCTAGCCATCTCTCACCGTCCGGTTCCCTCCATCCCCAAGCTCTCCATTCCCTCCATTACCACCCCAATTTCCCTCACTCTCTTCCACCCTCGAACCCCTCGTCTCCACACATTCAGATGCTCGGCTCTCTCATCTCAATCATCAGGTCCAAATCTCAATTAATCGATATAGTTTTTTTTATTTATATTAATGTTTGATGATTGCATGTGTCTGTAATGCGCAATTGATGTGTGTGCGCGTTTTGGTGCAGTGGACCATTCGACCAAGTTCAGGGAAGCTGCGAAGCACGGGAACCTGATTCCGCTCTACCGGAGCATATTCTCCGATCACCTTACGCCGGTGCTGGCTTACCGGTGTTTGGTTAAGGAAGATGACAGAGACGCCCCTAGCTTCTTGTACGAGTCGGTGGAGCCTGGTTTGCAGGTGTCCAGCGTTGTGAGTAACCTTTTTCCCTCTCTTGTTTGTTTCCTGAGAAAATGCGGGACAATAAAAGCAATGTCTAATTAATTAAAGCATTTGATTTTCTCGGCAAACAAATTGAAGATTGGATTCCAAGTTTTATTATTATTATTATTTTTGTGTTAGGGGCGATTTAGTGTGATTGGCGCGCAGCCGAGTATGGAAATTGTGGCGAAAGAGAATATGGTGACGGTTATGGACCACAGGGAAGGGCGGAAGACAGAAGAGATTGCAGAGGATCCTATGGTTGTTCCGCGGAGGATTATGGAGAAGTGGAAGCCCCAACGACTTGATGAGCTCCCTGAAGCATTTTGTGGTATGACATTTGGATTCTTAAATGGGTTGTGATTCAACCTTTACACTTATGTGCCAGAGATTTGATCCTAGAGATCCTGGGGAGGATTATTATTAATATATTGTACTGCACCGGCAAGCAACAATCTCTGAATAAGGAGAATGAAAGAAGGACCTGTTGATTAAGATAACTAAAGTCAACTCAATGTACCTTATTTTTATTATTTAGGTTCAACTATGCAATTAGTTGACTTTAGTTTTATTATGCTAGTATGCTTTATGCGGATAACTAAACCCAACTCACATGAACCTTATTTTTACCTATTTAGGTTCATCTAAGTGATCAATTTTCGTATTCCAGTCTGCTCTATGTAGTTTTATATCAGATAATGCCCCCACCACAATTTTAATTGTTTTTAGGGAAAATTGCACCGTTAGGCCCTATATCCTTTGTGTGATTTTGGGTTGGCTTGATTTTGACACAAAATCTTTGAATTTGTCTGAAATTGGTCTAATTGATTCAATTGTTAGCATTTTTGTATGGATAATGTGCACATGAGTGGCATGTGTCATGCTTTTAGAGACAAAGTTGTAAACTTAATCAATTCAATGACTTAGCCTCAACCAACTTACTGATTATTTTCCGTCAAAAACTCTAATGGTGTTATCAATTGGACTAAAATGATACAAAATCTAAAATTAAGAGTAAAAATTGAGCTAATTGAAGGTGTAAGGACAAAAATGATACAAGTAACAAAATGTAGGGATTACCCTTGTAAGTTGCCCGTGTGTGGATAGAGTCCCAACAACCAATTTTAATCAACTAATGAGATATTGTTCTTAGAGAATCCTCTAGGGCTTGATATTCAATATTGAGATGTTTAATCAGATTAACTACAACACTTTCTTGATATATGTTTTATTTTATTTTGTTTTATTTTAATCAACCTGGTCGATTTGCCTCTTCAGGGGAGGAGTTTTACTTGGTCTAATGGCTACCAGATGTCTCAAATTGATAGATTTCTGGTTACTAGTGGGTGGGAGGAGCATTTTACGGAGGTGGTGCAATGTCGGTTACCTCATCCTGTGTCAGATCATTGGCCGATTATGCTTAGTAGTGGGGGGTTTATTAGTTGATCGACGCCTTTTTGTTTCGAAAATATGTGGTTGCAATCAGAAGATTTTTTAGAAAGGGTTGGTGGATGGTGGAGTACTTACATGGTTAATGGTATTCCTAGTTATATGTTGGCTCAAAAATTGAAATTACTCAAAGGGGATTTGAAAAAGTGGAATAAGGAGGTTTTTGGCTGGGTGGAGGTTCAGAAAGCGGAAGTAGTGGCCATCCTTCAGTCCTTAGATGCTCAGGAGGTTTCCGGCAGCCTTTTAGAGGCGGATGTAGTTAGAAGGGATGCGGCCCGGCAGGATTATGTTCGTTTGGCTCGTATGGAAAAGACATGTTTTCGTCAGAAATCTTGATGTTTATGGTTGAAAGGGGGGATCGGAATACCAAGTTCTTTCATCGAATGGCTAATAGCCATAAAAGGGCCAACCAGATTGTGCGAATGCGGGTGGATGGGAGAGATTTGGTTACTGATGAGGATATTCGGGGAGGCATTGTGGGCTTTTATCAGCAGAAATCTCGATGTTTATGGTTGAAAGGGGGGATCGGAATACCAAGTTCTTTCATCGAATGGCTATGTTTATGGTTGAAAGGGGGGATCGGAATACCAAGTTCTTTCATCGAATGGCTAATAGCCATAAAAGGGCCAACCAGATTGTGCGAATGCGGGTGGATGGGAGAGATTTGGTTACTGATGAGGATATTCGGGGAGGCATTGTGGGCTTTTATCAGCAACTCTTTCGGGCTCAAGATGGGAAATGGAGGCCGGGGTTGGATGGGCTCCTGTTTGATGTTATCTCTGTAGAGAGTAAGGAGGGGTTGAAGCGGTTCTTTACAGAGGAGGAGGTGTTTGGGCTTTGAAGGTGATGAGTGGTGATAAGGTTCCTAGTCCAGATGGTTTCATTATGGCATTCTTCCAACATTGTTGGAGTGTGGTTAAGCAAGATGTGATGGTAATGTTTGAGGCCTTTTTCATGTCCGGGCAGTTTGAGAGGAGCTTTAATGCAACCTTCCTAGCTTTAATTCCGAAGAAAGGGGGGGCTGAGGATGTGAGGGACTTCAGGCCTATTAGTTTGCTTGGCAGTGTGTATAAACTGTTGGCAAAAGTATTGGCGAATCGCCTTCGAGGTGTGTTGTCAGATGTGGTGTCTAAATCCCAGAATGCTTTTGTTAGGGGGAGGCAGATTCTGGATGCGGTTTTGGTGGCTAATGAATGTGTTGATTCTCGAGTTCGGGACGGGCGACCTGGTTTGGTATGTAAGCTGGATATCGAGAAGGCCTATGATAATGTGAATTGGGATTTTTTGGTTTATATGATGGGTCAGATGGGCTTTGGTAATAGATGGTGTCAGTGGGTGAAGTTCTGTGTTTCCACGGTGCGGATGTCTGTGTTGGTGAATGGTTCTCTGGCCGGTTTCTTTTCGACTTATTGGGGTCTTCGGCAGGGGGATCCTTTATCTCCTCTTTTGTTTATCCTTGTTATGGAGGCCTTTAGTAGATTGCTATCCAGGGCTGTTCATGTAGGTATGTTGCAAGGTTTTCAAGTGGGCTTGTCATCAGGGACAGCAATGGGGGTGTCTCACTTACTGTATGCAGATGATGTTTTGGTTTTCTGTGATGCGGATCTGGTGCAGTTGGGCTATCTTCGATGTGTTCTGATTTGTTTTGAGGCAGTTTTGGGCTTACTGATTAATTTAAGCAAATCTGAGTTGATTTCGGTGGGAGAGGTTGAGAGGCTGACGGTTCTAGGATGCAAGATGGCCAATTTACCAGTGACTTACTTGGGTTTGCCTTTGGGTGCTAGTTTCAAGGCAAAAAGGGTGTGGGATGGGGTGGTAGAGCGGGTTCAACGGCGTTTGGCCAGTTGGAAACGTCAATATTTATCGAAAGGGGAACGGTTGACTTTGATTAAGAGTGTGTTGAGCAGTCTTTCGACTTACTTTATGTCATTGCATGTTATTCCCGTCTTTGTGGCTGCTCGCTTAGAGAAACTTCAACGGGATTTTCTGTGGGGAAGTGGAGGTAAGGATTTCAGATATCACTTGGTTGATTGAGGGCAGATTTGTTGCCCTAAGGAGGTGGGTGGTTTGGGGGTGCGGAGTTTGGTGCAGTTTAATAGGGCTTTGTTAGGGAAATGGTTATGGCGGTTTGCTGGTGAGCGTGATCACTTTTGGCGTAGGGTTGTGGCCTCTAAGTTTGGGATTGTTGAGGGGAATTGGCGGTCGGGGGATGTGGTGGGATCTCATGGGCGGGGTTTGTGGAAAGAGATTTGGTTGGGAAGGGGGGAGTTTTGGGAGAGGGTGAATTTTCGAGTGGGGACTGGGGACTGGGGAGAAGATTAGATTCTGGAATGATAGATGGTGTGGGGAGGTGGCTTTGGAGGTGCGATTCCCTTTGATTTTTAGTATTGCAAGGGATCAGGAGGCTACAGTTGCTCCTTATTTGGGGGATGGGGAGGTGGTGGTTTGGGATATTCAGCTTCGGCGGGAAGTTCAGGATTGGGAAGAGGGCCAGTTGGGGGGAGTTGTTTGGCTTTCTATATGGTTTGGGCTTCTTGGGAAGGGGCGAAGACGTGTTGGTTTGGAATGTGACGGGTGCCAAAGGTCGGTTTTCTGTTCGCTCCTTTTATCGGAGTTTGGTGGGGGAGGTGGGTTGTGTGTTTCCGTGGCGGAGTATATGGGTGCCTTGTGTTCCTTCTAAGGTGGTTTTCTTTTTATGGACGGCTGCCTTAGGCCGAAATCTTACAATTGATAATCTTGTTTGCCAGGGGCATGTGTTAGTCAATCGTTGTTGTATGTGTTGTGTGGAAGCAGAGTCTGTTGATCATTTATTTCTTCATTGTTCTGTTGCTTCGCGACTTTGGGGGCTGGCATGTTCCTTTTTTGGGATTATGTGGGTGCAACCAAAGGGAATTGTGGGCATTTTGTGGAGTTGGCGGGGGGCTCGTGTTTAGCGACTTTGACGTTGAGTGTGGTTGTTGGTGCCTTTCTCTTTAATGTGGCTGGTGTGGTTGAAACGAAATAGGCGTACTTTTCAAGATGTTGACCAGTCGGTGTTATGGTTGCAGAATCGGTTCTTAGTAACCTTGTATAGTTGGTTAGAGTGTAAAGGTGATCTGGATTTGTTTTCTTTCTTAGATTTTATGAATCTTGTTGTTGGTTAGGTGGTTTTGGTCTTGCTCTTTTGCTGCTCTTGTATTCTTTGCATCTTCTTGATGCTTTTTAATAAATCTTGTTATTTATCAAAAAAAAAAAAAAAAAAAATAACACTTTCTAATATTAAAATAATTTTATGGTTAGAAAAAAAAGCATCATGGGATTCTTAGTTTTAATATGGTCCACGGTTTTATGATCTAGCATAATTTCATTATTTTAGTAATTGCTAAATGATTACCCTACTTTGATTCACATGGTTTATTTTGATTGTGCATATGGTGGGTTCTTGGGCTAGGTGTTCAATCATGAGTTGTGTTTTCTTTGTTCTAACTGTGACCTTGGTTTGATTATTTGATCAATTGTTTGCAATTTTCTTGAGCTGAGGAATATTTTTGAAATGTTTTTTTGTTGTTAAAATCTACACTGATGTTATGTGGCCATTATAAATCTCTTGCTTAATAATGTTTATTGAAATTTTGCATGTGTTTAATTAGATTGTGCATGATTTTTATGACTTAATGTTATGATCAAAGTATGGTGTTGAAGCCTCGTGAGTAACTATTTGGCCTTAAGTGAGTAGTTTGGGAATGTTTAACTATTTTCTGTATTTGCCTTTCTATGTTGCAAACTTGCAATGATGTTCTCCATTGAGAAATTCGTTTATCTTGTTTGATTTGTAGTTTCTTGTAGAGATTTTCTTAGATGTGCCAGCACAGGATATGCTTTATTGAGTCACTAAACTACATTTAGCAATGTGCTTCCTTCTTGACCAGGTGGGTGGGTTGGTTATTTCTCATATGACACAGTGCGTTATGTAGAGAAGAAGAAGCTTCCATTCTCAAGTGCTCCACAGGATGACCGAAACCTTCCTGATGTTCACTTAGGCCTTTATGAAGATGTGATCGTGTTTGATCATGTAGATAAGGTTCTCTCTTTGCTGATTAAACAATACTTACATTTCTCGTATCTATTTATTTATTTATTTTGATATAGAAACTTCCATTTCATAGATATGTGTTTGGTAGTATACCCCAATTGTCATTTTTAATATATTTTTTAAAATTTGAATGGAAACTCTTTTGCTAAACCTCTTTTTATTTTTTATAGAAAGTCTCTCTGTCTAAATAAGAGAATAAAAATGAATTGTATTATGATACTGAATTCAGTTTCTATGAAATATTTTTAACATGCAAATTTTGATGGGTTCTGTTATTGCCGAACATGTTGAATTCCTATATATGCTTTTTAACTGTTTTCAGAATATTTTTCCTGTAAGATCAGATAAAGCATTCATGTCAGTTTTTTCTTCCAGTCCATGCATATATTTGATTTATGAGAACTCGATCGCTATTAGCTTCAATTGTGAACGTAGCTTAAAATTGGACGTTTTCTCATTAGAATGTTGAATTTCCTCTTACTTGGTATTTTCTTCTACCTCAGAAAGCTCATGTGATACACTGGGTGCGATTAGATCAATTTTCTTCTGTTGAGGAGGCCTATAATGATGGGATGAACTGGTTGAACTCTTTAGTCTCTAGAGTGCATGATATAGTTCCGTGAGTAATCACACTTTTATGCTTAATGAGTCATACCATTCCTTCTGTTAATTCATCATTTATTTTCAGTATTTGATTGAATTGTCAATTTCAGCCCAAGGCTGGCTGCAGGTTCAATTAAATTATATACTAGCCTTTTTGGCCCATCCTTGGAGAACTCAACCATGACAAGTGAAGCATACAAGGATGCAGTGTTGCAAGCTAAAGAACATATACTGGCAGGAGACATTTTCCAGATTGTATTGAGTCAGCGATTTGAACGGCGAACTTTTGCAGACCCATTTGAGGTCTACAGGGCATTGAGAATTGTCAATCCAAGTCCATATATGACTTATTTACAAGTCAGTATGTTCTTCCCTGGAACTTGTATGTTAAGCTCATTTTTCAATTCAATTCTGACTTTCCATTGAACATTTCTGATGATCAGGCCAGAGGGTGTATCTTGGTTGCTTCAAGTCCAGAAATTCTTACTCGTGTGAAGACGGTAAACTAGTACATCAATCCAAGAGTGTTTTAACAAACAATCGTTTGTATTACTTTCTACATTGTAACATTGATAACAAGTCTTTTTTCTTGTATAAATAAGTTTCAATGTCCACCTGTCTTTTATCGAATTTACTACAGTTTACTTTTAATTAGCATTAACAACATCTCATGTTCATATTGCATTCTTGTTGACAGAAAAGGGTCACTAATCGACCCCTTGCTGGAACTGTTAGGAGAGGGAAGACACCCAAAGAAGATTATTTGTTGGAAAAACAACTTCTGAGTGATGAGAAGCAATGCGCAGAGCACATTATGCTTGTTGACTTGGGAAGGAATGATGTCGGAAAGGTTTATACTCCCTTTTACTAAATTATGTTGGTATAAATCTGCATTTTTCAAAAACTCCCAAGCATAGAGTTCATACACAATGTTTGTCCTGAATTTCTGTGTAGACCTGTTCTTAAATGGATGAAATATCTTGCCAACCAGATATGAAGGGTGTCCTGCAGTGAATATCCTCGACAGAGCTCTTAACATTTGCACTCTTTTGTTGCCTTTCTGATAGATCTATTTCCGAAACTTTGGATTTGAATTAAACTGTTTTAGTTTTTGTTGATCTTGGTTGGTACAATCATGAGGAGCAAGTAGGAATGGCAACGGGGCAGGGCGGGGCCGGGGATTGCACTCTCCGTCCCCGATCCCCGATTGGGAAAATCTCCCCGGCCCCGGCCCCGATCCCCGATCCCCGACGGGAAACCTACCACCATTCCCATCCCCGCCCCCCAACAGGGATCGGTTTTCCCTGACCCCGAAGATTCCCCATCCCCCAAATCTGTTTCAACAGCAACACAATCAACAAGAAAATCATCATCATCCCCTATCAACATCCCCAATCATCCAGATCATAAAACATAAAAAAATAAATAAATAAAATACAAGCAGATCTGAGATCTGTGTCATAGAGAGAGTAGACTATCGGCGGTAATGGACAACGGAGGAGGCGATGGTGGACGAAGGAGGACGGTCGGCGTCGCCAACAGTGGCGATGGACGACGGAGGACGATCGGAGATTCGGAGGCGATGGGTGGCTGTGAGTGCGACGACGGAGGAGGACGAGGAGGAGGAAGCGACGCAGGAGGAGGCGGCGGTGGCCTGGAGAAGGAGGAGGCGGCAGTGGAGGAGGGGACGAGACGCAGAGCCGATTGCGGAGAGAAGAAAGAGAGTGAGAGAGAGATCAAAGAGTGAGAGTGAGAGTGATGAGAGAGACACATTAGACCAAACTGTGTGTAGGGGTTGTTCAAAAAAAAAAACTGTACAGAGGGGGTTATATATATAAATAGATAGAGGGGTGTTATGGTAATTTTATTTCGGGGAGAAACGGGGCCGGGGACGGGGCTGTGAAAGTGATCCCCGTCCCCGGCCTGAAACTGATCGGGGATTTAATTTCAAATACTATCCCCGGCCCGTCGGGGGTATTTTTCGGGAAAAAACCACTCTTATCGGGGACAGGGGGTCGGGTCCCCGTCGTCGGGTCGGGTTCGAATTGTCATCCCTAGATGCAAGGTTGTATCCTGTTACTTACCTGGTGATCCATCACGCCAGTAGATCCATATGTGCAGTCATTTTGGTGATTATCTGTCAGTAGTACTGTTGTATTAACTGTATTTTGTTTTGTCTTTGATTTTTTAGCACTGGTGGAAGCTTTTATTTTTCTGCCATTATCTTGATACCAATACATGCTATGCTTGCAGGTATCGAAATCTGGTTCTGTGAATGTTGAGAAGCTCATGAACATTGAACGATATTCCCATGTCATGCACATCAGCTCCACGGTAACTCTTCCTTTGCTGCGTTTACTATTTGGATGAAAGAAGATCTGAACAATGTTTAACATGTTACTCATATTTCATAAAAATCTTGATCAATGACACCCAACATAATACTTTTTCCATGGGACATGGAAATTAAAGAAATTGAAAGAGATTTGTCACAATAGCAAACTTACCTCACATGGCCCTGTTTGGCAAGAGGCTTTTTGACTTTTTTGGGCTAAAATTCACAAAAAGATAAAATAGGTTAAAATAGCTAACAAGACAAAATGTCACATCAAATCCATAATCATTTTACTTTTTCTCTTATAAACATCACATTCAACTATAAAAAAATTCAATCATCTTCTCAAACACAAAAAATTTAGTCTACTAAAAGAACTAAAAACTAAATAGCCTACTAAAATAGCCAGCTTTCCAAACGAGTCTGAATAATTCAAAGCAATGCATGTTGGAGAAAGACATTAGTTTGTTGTACTCTTCACAATCAAATGACAGTTTACACTGCATTTGCAGGTCACTGGAGAGCTGCTTGATAATTTAACTGGCTGGGATGCTCTGCGTGCTGCATTGCCTGTTGGAACAGTTAGTGGGGCACCAAAGGTTTTACCTCACCTGCCTTCTTCTGAATATAATAATGCATGTGTTTAAAATATAATGGTATTGTGCCTGAATCATTGAACTCGTTGGTCATTCCGGTAGTTAATATAGTTGGTTGAAGCTTTATCCCTAATTTTTGTGGTTATAGGCTTCTTTAGCATTTGTTTGGTACTTGCAATATGCATGCACGAATGTAATATACATGTATGATGATTGTAATATTTTTGTCATTGTGAGGGTGCATTTTATGTGCTTCTTATTGTTTAATGTACCGCCAATACAGGTGAAAGCCATGGAGTTGATTGATCAGCTAGAAGTCACGAGACGAGGGCCATATAGTGGTGGATTTGGAGGCATTTCATTCTCTGGTGATATGGACATTGCTCTAGCATTGAGAACGATTGTATTCCCAACTGGAATACGTCACGACACAATGTACTTGTACAAGGATGTGAACAGGCGGCGGGATTGGGTTGCCCACCTTCAAGCTGGGGCCGGTATTGTGGCTGACAGCGATCCCGGTGATGAGCAGAGAGAGTGCGAGAACAAAGCTGCAGCTCTTGCCCGTGCTATCGATCTTGCAGAGTCTTCATTTGTTAACAAATGATAAAATTTTAATAATTGCAGAGTTCCATGTTTGTTTATTATAATTATGTTTTAAAGTAGAAATGATATTATGTTTATGTTTTTAGATGGGGAGAAATGATTATGTTAATGATTACCAAACTTGAGTTTTTGGAAGTGTCCAAATTGTCAGTGGGAAATTAATTAATCATGGAGCAATCCATTTTTTGTTGCGTAAAAACTAGAGAAAAAGTGTTCTCACAGGCTGCGGTGCTGTGGTTGATTATGGAATGAGGATGATGCTTTGGACAGATTCTAAATACCATTGATGACTAATTTTGAGGTTAATGGGGGTTGGAATTTTGTCCATTTTTTATATTATGGAATTGTTTTTTTTTTTTTTTTTTGGCCTCTCCCAAAAGGAAATTTGGGAAAATATGGGAAATTGATAAACTAATTACAAATCAATTAGCATTCTATGGGCTTGGATTTATTTTCCCCATTTTCCATATATCAGATTATCGCCCGAGAAATTTTCTTTTAGCAAAATCAGTAGTAGATGCTTAGAACTTAAAAGATGGACTCTTATTATGTAACAATTAATTTTCTTCTTCCTTTTTTTTTTTTTGTTTTTGGCCCCCTCAAAATTGAGAAATGATACAATCATATTCATTTAAACTAGTGGTAAACCTGTGATATGTACGAGACTAATTTATAATATATAAATTTTTTAATAATGCATCAAGTTTTAAATTCTGTCATAAAATTATAATCATAATGAATAAAGATCATCTTATTAAATTTCATAAGTAAAGACAATAATTTAAAAAGTAGATATGCACAAAATGTTATTATAATTCAACTGATCTATTTTTCTTGAAATAATAAACTTGATTTCTAACTAATGAAATAATACTAACAATAAATAAGATGTTTCTCAATAACCCTAATGTCTAAAACATATATATGCTAAAAAGAATTACTAATAAACTGAATGCCATAAATCTATCTATCTATATTTGTTATGGGTTTATATATATTTTTAATTTATATATATGGTTATAAATATTTGTGGGTTTGTAATTTTTTTATCACTTTATGCCAAATATATTTTTTGGATACTGAACTAACCTAGTCTGTCACCCCGTTAAAGAATAGGGAAAGTTGTGAATATGATCAGGAAGAAAAGCGGCATCCATGGTTTCCCCAGCAGATGTTGCTCCTTGTCAGCATTGCAAGACCTTTGTACTGTGAGTTGAAGGTAAGAGTTCGAAGAACACAAAGGGGAGATCCCCGTCGGAGCAGAGCGATTCACCGCCACTCACCTCATGAGGTACTTTCTAAAGCGCCGCTACGCTTGTTTATTGCGTTCCTTAAACATCATCCATTGTATTGCATTATACCTATCAAGTTTTTTTCTCATTCATGCACGCTATTGTATGTACGGTTTATTCAAAGAAGTTCCGTTTAAAATCATTCACTTAGTGTATCAATCACACTTCATTTATTTAGTGTATCAATCACACTCTCTTCACTTAGTGTATCAATCACACATTCTCATTTTCTGTATCTATCATACACATCCTCCTTTTGTGTATCCATCACACTTGTTCACTAAGTGCATCTATCACACTTTGTGTTCACATTTAGTATATCCATCACACCTGTTCACATAGTGCATCTATCACACTTTATGTTCATTTTTAGTGTATCTATCATACTCTATTCACATAGTGCATCTATCACACTTTGTGTTCTTTTTTAGTGTATCTATCATACCCTGTTCACATAGTGCATCTATCACACTTTGTGTTCATTTTTAGTGTATCTATCATACCCTGTTCACATAGTGCATCTATCACACTTTGTGCTGATTTTTAGTGTATCTATCATACTTTGTTCACATAGTGCATCTATCATACTTTGTGTTCACCTTTAGTGTATCTATCATACTTGTTCACTTAGTGCATCTATCACACTTTGTGTTCACCTTTTGTGTATCCATCACACTTGTTCACTTAGTGCATCTATCACACTTCGTGTTCACCTTTAGTATATCTATCATACTCTGTTCACTTAGGACATCTATCACACTTGGTGTTCACCTTTTGTGTATCCATCACACTTTGTTCACTAAGTGCATCTATCACACTTTGTGTTCACCCTTTGTGTATCTATCACACGCTCGCTTTGTGTATCCATCACACGTTTACTTTGTGTATCCATCGCACGTACGCTTTGTGTATCCATCATATGTTCACTTTAGTGTATCTATCACTACACTCGCTTTGTGTATCTATCGCACATGCTTACTCACTCTGTGTATCTATCACACCTCGTCTACTTTTGTGTATCTGTCGCACATGCTCGCTAAGATTGCATAATCTTCTTACACCCTTTCTACATGTAATGAAGTTAGATTTGTGTACGCTTGCTTAAAACTGTTGCATGTTATGCTTCGTTACAGCTTTCTTTGCATGATCATAAGTTATGTTTGGCCTTAAACATTTTCTTTGCATCTCGCCCCATGCCTGCGGGCATGCCTGCGGGCACATCTTTGTTTATCTCCCCTGTTTGTCTAAGTCTTCGGCCTTGTCAAAAATGGGTCGTCTCTGGGCTTTGACATTCACTCCTGTCAATTACGACTTTTGAGTTCTGTCAAAGAGGGGCAACTGTAGACACCCCATTTTTGACCGACCTTAAGACTCAGACGTCACCAACTGAGCACTCGGTGATGTTGCATATTGTGCTCGTTCCGAGGTTGCGGAGTCTCGACTGCGAGCCTTGTCTCCGGACTTCGGGGCTCTTTTGTGCTTTGCCTCGGTTTGTGAACCAGGTCTTATTTTCTCTGTTTTCTCTTCCTGAAGGGAGGGAGAGGTCTCGTAGACCATCTCTCAGTGGCCGTAGGCTACGTTTCGTGGTCGTAGGCCATTTTTCCTATTTGGAGTCCAATTTTCGGTTTTCGGAGCCGTTGGCCGTGTGCCTCGATTCAGGACCGCTTAACTACCTCCGTTTGCTCTGGTTTTTGGCACACACCTTTTTTCCTCCCTTTAGAGGGACACTGTGGCCCTGGAGACCACCTTCGTGGTCATACACCACTTTCGGTGCCTAACATCCTGTTTTCGGGGTCCCAGACTGCGCGTTTTGGCCCCCGAACCTTCGTTTTGCATCCGTCTTGGTCCATTTTTGGTAGGGACCCTATTTTCATTGCTAGGGAGGTGGTAGTATGGTGGGAGGCCACCTTTTCCCCTTGGAAATTAACTTTCTCTTTTTCTCTCTCCTCCAGCCGATTTTTCTGACAGAAAGCTGATTTTTCTCACTTTTGAGCCACAATTTCTGGTTTTTCATACCACCATTGTGTTGTGCTCATCTAGGAGGCCACCAATATGGGTAGGCCGACCAGTAATTCTTCTTGACCCTTTTGAACCTTGCTAAAAAGCTAGTTTTTCTCTCTCTTGGGTCACATTTTCTGGTTTTCCACCATACAGCTATGATGCACTCATCTGGGAGGCCACCTTTCTAGGGTGGCCAGCCACCATTTCTCCTTGAACCTTTTGACCCCTGGTCGGCCGACTAGGGGGAGTGGCCGGCCGACCACTTGAACTGGTCGACCTGCTTCTTGCTTTTTGCTCTCTCTGAATGCATCACAACTGTGCCAGCTGGGAGGCATTTGGACCATCCTCCATACACGTGTATGGAGGATATTTGAAGCTTCCAAGAGAAGCTTTAGAGCCTCTCCTATTTGCATGGGTTAGAAAAAACCAGCTGAGGCATATACATACAACTCCCTATATTTCTCTCATCTAAGCTCAAAACACCCTTGTTCTTGGTCATTTACACTACACCTTATAGCCTACCACCTCCACCATCCATTCCAGCACTTTGGGACTGATTTTAAGGGGTTGAAGGTTCACTAACTTGGTCCAGAAGTTGCAGCATTGCTGTGCTACAAGGGTAAGTCTCCATTTCCCCTTTTCTTACATTATTTTGCTCCATAGCTTAGCCCTATTTCCAAGCATTTTTGGGTTTTGTTATAAACTGTAAAGTGTCTTATTTTGAGTTTCTCTTGAAGTTTAATTAAGGATACTTTTCTGTTTGAGGTCTCCTACATCCTTGTATGTTTCATCTCTCTTTTAGGGCTTATTTTGCATGATATCTTAGCCTTACTTGCAAGCATTTTCGAGATTTTCCATAAACTAGAAAAAGTCTTTTTTTGATCTTATAAACATGTTTGTTTAAGGATTCTTTTCTGTTTGGGGTCATCTTCCCCCTTCCATGGTTCATTTCCTCATGTTTTGAGCCTTGTATTTGAGCATTTGCATTGGCCTTGGTTTGGCCTTTTAGCCACTGAAATTCAGTAGATTTTAAGTGTCTTAGATGTGCTTTTGAGCTTCAAAATCAGAGAGGGGTGACCCTCTCATCTCACCCCTTGTTCTCTTTATTAGCATTGTTGGCCTTCCAAAGGGGTTCCATCTTGCATGCTTTGAAGTCTTATTTCAGGCCCTATTTTGTGAGTTTTAAGGTCTTCCTTGACTCTATCTGGAGCCCCTTTAGCCATTTTTTATGTCTATGATGCATGTGTAGAACAATCCCATTCAAGGCCTTTCAAAGGGACCTTTCATTGCATGCTTCCTAGACCAATTTCAGGCTCTTTTTGATAGGTTTTAGGGCTGTCATAACTCATTTTTAGAGGTGGTTTTACCCTTTTGTTTGTCTATCATGTATGTGTAGAACAACCCCTTGCATGGCTTTCCAAAGGGGCTCATCATTCTTGCATGTGTTGACTGATTTTCAGTAGTTATTTGGGCATATTTTGGCATCAAATACTTCTGTAGTGAGCCCAATGAACAAAACGGGGAGGGATTTCCCTCCCGGGACGTTTGGGGACGTCTACAATAAGTTAAACTAATCACCTATGGTCGAATGGGTGGTGGTGGAAGTGTCTACTTCACTAGCCCAATATCCAAGCGGCTAGCTAGATAGGCACATTCCCCCACATAAGTCGAACTAACCACCTATGGTTGAATGGGTGGTGGTGGAAGTGTCTACTTCACTAGCCTAATATCTAGGCGGCTAGCTTGATAGGCGCATCCCCCCACATAAGTCAAAATAACCAATTATGGTGAAAGGGTAGTGGGATATATTACTCAAATTATTCTTACAAAATCATTATTTTGTAGGCAATAATAAAATACAATTTCCAAAAGAGGCTACCAAAAAATAAAATAAAAATTGAACTTTGCATGAGTTCCGTGCAATACACATATATAAATATATGTATAGGTATAGGCCACTTGCACATGTTTGTGCA